AAAGCTTTGCTATCACTCATGCTCACCACATCAAAGCACAACATTTTCTTCCATCAGCACAAGCACCTGATGTAGGGAAAACAACAGGAGATAGTCATCATTCACTCTTAAATAGATGGCGGGGGGAGACACACACACACACACACTTCTTTCCTCCAGGTTAGACAGAGATATTTGCATAAGGGGAAAAACTGTCCTTAGCAATAGGTTAAAGAGCGACACAATCTGGGGGTATTACAAAAATAATAGAGATTATTAAGAAGTAATAGAGATGTTGATTTCTCCTAATAAATTCTATCCAGCTGTTTAGGTGCAAGAAATATAAATTAGCAAGAAGTATGTCATTTCCTAGCAGAGGGGAAAAATTACACTTAGATAAATAAATAAATAAATTGTAATGTAAAAGACACCAATGGTGGGTGGAGGGGGAGGTAAATAGAGGGTAGTGAGCAAAGAGGGAGGTCTGCAGTCTGGGGGGGAGCAGGAGGGCAACCCTGTTTCTCTTGCCCGTGAACTGAGCAGATGCCTGCAAGCCAGGTATCTGGGACAGATGATAATGTCAAGGCATGTTGTAAGAAATCTTTCAGGTAACGTCACTGCCCGTGATGCAAAAGAAAAGACACACGAAGAGTCACATTAGGGAGAGTGAGACTGAATAGAGGATTACATCTCAGTCCAGACATGGGATTTTAGGTTTGTAACCATCTCATACCACATCAGCTGCCACGTCTCCACCCTACAGAACCCATGGGAGGGCTGGTCTGAGTGGCCTAAAACAGAATTGCACCAAATGACCAAGAGAGGATTCTGTAGAACGGTGCCTTGGTTCTTAAACTGGGATCGAACTGCGCTAACTGTAGGGTGCAGATCCAACATGTGCCTTCATCCACGGGGACTGATCTGTGGATGCTCACGTTGCCTGTCCTCCCCCTTCCCCTCCCTCCACCCCAAAATGCTATTATTACATTTTTGCCTTTTCACTGTTTACACTTTCACTGAAGACAAGAGATACAATTTGCGCTCCTTTTCAAGAGTATGCATGGCAAAGCTGCAACATTTATATACACTGTGTTTCCCTCTCTCTGAAGGTCAGGAGAAAGTTACATTATATATATACAAATGCAACATTTTGCTTTATTCTGTGCTACATATTATCTTTTTTATGTCCTGTAGCATTTCAAAGCAAACAAAGTCAGAAGTCCACACTTTCACTTTTACCTCCAGAAGAAAACCATTCTGCAGCTTTTAAAAAGAGATGGTAGTATTTGTTATGCATGTTGGAAGATAGACTTAAGGATGGGAAACTGGAAGGTGGGGGTGGCGGGGGTCTTTCTCATACTGCTGGACACCGATTGCCATAATCGCTGGTTAACACATCATTCTAACTGGGGCTGATGGAAACGGGGGCCATACTATTGATTCAGTTAGGCTACAAACCCTTGAACGCTTGCCCACAAGTAAGTCCCATTGAACGCAACACAGCCATGCATTGGAACAGTTAATTGGTTCATCCAGGAGCAGATATAATTTTATTTTATTTTTTAAAGCAAAAAGCAGTTACCGAACTTGGGCCAAAAACTATCTTGTAGGATTCTGTCAGCTGGAAGCGATGCCTCTTAAAAATCTAATGCTCAGAGATGTCACCAATTTCTGTCTGTACCACTTTAGACTGTGAGAAGACACACAGATCTCTAGACTCACACCTATTCCTCAAGTTCGCCACACGCCAAGGTGCCTTCTTTGTGGGTCATCCTCTTTACGGGGTAAAGCATTAAGCGACAACACAAGTTCGAGCAGCTTAAAGAAATGGCACTACGCTAACCTTTCAAGGTACTTTACCACAGTACTGTTTGTGCTGAATTTCCTTCTACATTGCAGTGTGAGGTTCTTCTTACAGACTGTAGTCTTCAGTCAGTAAACCCAAAGGATTTCACACATTTTAGGCTGATCTTCATAAAAGCAATATTTAAAACTTGCTGAATGCCTCAGTGCAACACCCATCCACCCCGATACACACATACACACACACCAAATAATGTAGAACACCTTGTGGAACTGGAACCAATATAATTTGTGTGTCTTTATTGTGGTGATCTGATTCCTCATATGGAGATGGTCAGTCCACCTACGCCTGCCTTAACTATATTTCACGGCTCACCCACTGCTCCGTTTCATGGGAATCCCTCAGTTGGGTTCTTCGTTCTCTGTGTATATCGGAAGGCTTACCAAACAAGCTACAAACATGAAGAAAATATTTAAAATCACCCACCTACCACTGGGAGACTTGCCTGTTAAGAGATGATTGTGATAACCTCTTAAGCAGCATCCTAGCAATGTTTCAGATACGGTAAAGGAGAAAAGAAAAAGACCACACACGTTATTCCAGATTCTAGAAACCTAAGAACCATTGTGTCTTTTTCCTATAACTAAAAAATTACTTTTAGACATGTATTCGTTCTGCAGCAACATGAATTTTAGGCTAAGGTCTGGTTCACGGTATCAGCATCCCCCTCCTAAAAACCTCTGCCACCTGATATTAAACCTCAGAAGTCAAATATCGCAATAGTTCCACACCAGTTCAATTAGAACTCACTTCCACACAAGCAGAGTTACGCCAAATTAAACAGACCACAGGACATCCATAACTGGCTTGCACATTTTTAACCTTACTATTAAACAGGAAGAGCCCGTCCTCTAAAAGAGACTGGAGCAGAGAAAATGTTGCCCAGCTTTCTCCCTTTCACACATTTCCATTGCTCAATGCAAAAACCACACACACAGGCAGCTACTGGGCTCAGGGAATTTAAAAAAAAAACAGAGGTACTACATTTAGGCCTCAGAAGCCTAAATTTCCCTCAGTTTCTAGCATGCATGCCTAGGATTGCAAAATAAAACTCCCATACGTTCTCTAACCCCTTTTTTCTAATTGACCCAGTTTCTTTTAGCAGAATAACACAAACTAGAGGGGGAAAATGTTTTTGAAGTAACAAATAGGGGGGCACCCAAGTTTACACATTGCATATTATTTATGTATTTGTTCTAATTTGATTTAAAATACTTTAACTCTGCCTTTCTCCTTAAAAAGGACCCAAGACAGCTTACGATAAAAACAATATCTAAAAGTTAAAAACAGTAAACCTACAAGTATGTTAAAATAACTAAACAAATATATTAAAAACATGAACTAAAATTGATACTAAAGACACCTTTAAAAATCAACAAGGCACAACAATCCTTTCTTAAAAACCCTACTTGGGCAGCCAGTTGCTCAGGGAAAGCCTGACTGAACGGAAAGGCCTTGGCCTGCTTGCAGGAGGAGAGCAAAGAGGGCGCCACCCTGGCCTCCAGTGGCAGGGAGTTCCACAGACTTACAGGAGCCACAGAGAAGGCCCTCTCCTGTGTCCCCACCAAGTGCACCTGTGAAGGTGGCGGGGTCAAGAGAAAGGTGATCTTAACACCCAAGCCAGCTCATAAATGGAGATGCAGTCCTGGAGGTAGCTTGGACCCATGCTGTTTACAGTTTATCGGTGGGTAGCATAAACCTCATTTGGAATTAACCCACTTCCTATATTTAATCTACAAATCACAAACAATGGAAAATCCCGACTAGGGAGACCCTAAGGTTAAATTTCCACAGAGAGACTTCGGGACATTTTCTATGAAAAACAGGCCTAATCTACTTTCTAGGAGTCTTCCAAGGATAAATAAAGGGGGAGCAGATCAACACCCGCCACCCTGAACATCCTGGGGAATGACTGAGAGACAAACGAACCAAGCAAGTGACATTGACTGGAAGGAATACTTCAAACTGCAGCACTATAAAACGAATATCATTTCGTGTATTTCTGTTTAACTGGAAGCCTCTGTGTTGGACCGACACCATTATGGAATACTTTGATTCTTTCTTTGTATCAGTTCCTTCTCTGATTAATTATCTTAATGGTTGCCACACACACACACACACACTTTCTATTTCTTGAGAGATTATCTTTGTTCATTGTGTTTAACCTCGTCCTAAATGCATCTGCTTGGAAATTAGATGCAATCACTCTTAGCAAAGGAGAGCACAAATGGATTGTGAAGCCCAGATGGATTTTTCCTCTCTTTGATCAAAGGCACACTCCACCAAGGGCTAGCATTGTCTTTTCACACACCGCCTGCTGCTTCCCCCCCACCCCCACCCCCCGGCTTCTTGCAAATTTTCTTCCCTTCAGCCAACCTGGCCGAGAAGGTATTCACTTCAAACCCAGACAACAGTGTTGCTTGTGTTATCTCTGGACAGATCGGAACCCTATTCCATCCAATCGGTTTCCAATCAGACAGGATTCCAAACTAAAGTTTTGCTCATACAACCCAAAACCAAATAACACAGAAAGGGGATTGCGGGGTGAGGTGTGTGGGAAATCGCTGATCTCTCTAGCTTGGCCACTAGGAGTTTAAACAGGTAAACTCCTCCACCATCGGCTGCTAGACTGGGGCAGGTCTAAAGAGTTACAAAGCAACATGAAACACCAGGGAAGGTCGAAGAAGTTGCTCTTGGAGGCTAAAAGCTCCGGAGCTGGGTGTAGAATTCTGGAACTCTTGACACATTGATCTTGTCTTTCTTCCTTTCCTGGTGGAGGGGAGAGAACGGACAAAACCTAATACCATTTGCAGACGTTTTGTGGGGTGGGTGGGTTAAAAGCAACTCCCACAAAAATGGCTGCTTCTGGGGCAACTTATCAGAGACTATCATCCTCATCATCTTAGAACTGCAGAGCTGGAAGACACCCTATGGGTCACTGAGTTCAGACACTGTCGTGGAGAGAGGCCCAGTGAGGCATCGAAATCCCAGCCTCTGGCTGCACATCCAGAGGCCTAGACCACAGAACTATCCTGTTTAATATATTCAGGACTAAGAAGCCAAAACACATCTATAGGGCTACACACACCCCTCTGTGGCCTCCATCATCCACCACCAAACTCTCCATCCATCATAACATGATTTTTCCCCCCATTACCTTGACACTGGCTCTTTTCGTCCGAGACTCTCCTTCCATGTTCTCCCGGGTGCCTTTCTTAGAGGAGTTAGTCCTCAGCTTGGAGGAAGAGGTGTTGGAAGATTTAATGAATACTCCAGGGACCAGATTGCCCTGCGGTGGCTGTGATGAGTTCGAGTCCTCCGTGTCCTTGTTGCTATGATAAACCACCCTGCTGTCGGATATATGGATGCTCGGAGCACAGCCCATGGTTGGTCTTTGGAAGCGAAGAGCGCTCAGAGTTGTTGTTGCTGTTGTTGTTATTACTGTTGTTGTTGTTATCCTTTCCTTTGGGGGAAATCAGGTCCTTTTTGTTAACAGGCTGGGTCCACTCGCTGGTCTCCTGCCCCGATCCACCTGGTCAGCTGTTCCTTAAGTGTAACCCGAAATCCAAAAGGCCATGATGGACAGAGGGGCAAAGGAGCAAAGGGTTTCTTCATCTCTTTTGTCTTCTTGTTCCCCCCCCCCTTTCCACCCCCTCCAGAACAGGTTCTCTCGATCTCCAAGCCTCACAAAGCTGGGTTATAGCAAGCCAGGAGTGAGAAAGCTCCCAGAGGAAGCTTAACTGTGAAGTGGGGGTTACACCATGTTGTATTTTTGAGACACATACTCAAAGGAAAAAAAAAACACACACCCCCCACACACAACCCCCAAAACAAAACAGAAAAAGCCAGGTGAGAGGGAGAAGGGCCCACGAAGGAAGTGGGGGGGCGGGTGTTCTCTGGCCTCCCTTGGCCAGGATTAAGAAATGATCCGATCCATGCTGTTTTGGGTCAGCATTCCCCTCCCCCTTTCTTTTCAGCCCCAAAGAAAGAGAGAATAAATGTCTGTTTTCATGTCTTCCCAATATATTACAAATTTAGAGAAAGGAGAGGGTGGGTTTTCCTTACCACCAAAGGCCCCTATTCAAAAGAAGGTCCCACCCCAGACTTCTACCCCCTGCACCTCCCCCTCCAAGTCCTCCAAGGGCCCAGATCCTTCCACCCTAGCATCTCCCAAGGGTGGTTTCTGGGCAGGATGAAAGGGGGGAGGGGAAGACCCCCCTCCAAAACGGCAGAAAGCTCAGCCTCATCCGCCTCGGGTCCAATTCATATTCCTGGCCCACCACCTCCTCTTCCTCCAGGACCTGCTTCTCCGTAGTTGCGGCTGAAAACTCGGGAGCAGTTTAGGGGCATTCACACGTTACCTCTCCTGCTTGGGAAGGGCCTCCCCGGCCCGCCTTCCGCGCTCGCTCTTCTTTCGGGGAGGCTTGGCCGAGGGGAAAAGGGGGGGGGGCGGAAAGCTTCCTTCTCCAGCAGAAGTCTACCCATCCATTCAAAGGCAACCCGACCCCCCCTTTCCCAATAACCCTCTTTTTTTCGGGACCGGGGGGGAAAGACCAAGAGAG